ATCATGGTGTTCACCTTCTGGTGCCGAATATATTAGTCTTTATGCCTCTGTGCTTTTATGTTTGTACATACTCTATGGGCTAATAGCCGTAAATAAATAAATAAATAAATAAGACGTTGACATTTTCTGACTGATGAGGGAGGGTAACCTTCTCAGTCGCAGAACCCAGGAGGTACCTTGATGTGTTCAGAGACTAGAGCACAACTTCAGCTGACTTCTATTTCTCCTCAAATAAACTGCCAGAGCCCATCAGCCACAGCCTATCTCGAAGGTGCTTTTTTATTTAGTATAATAATTTGGTGCCAGGCCTGGCCCAGGATGGTTTGGCAACTTGAGGCAAAAGAGAAAAATGCTTCCCTTGTCCACCCACCCACCTCCACCACCTGAGGAGACTGGATATGGTCTGGAGAAGTCCTGGTATGCAGGAGTCCTGAGGTAGCAGGAGAGAGAAAAGGAAGGCAGAGAAGAGCAAACAACTGAGGCATGGGGGGTTGCAGAGGAGTTGGGAGACAAGCACAGGAGGAGGTGGGCAGCACACTCCTTGGGGGCCCAGCTCTGCCACACCTCCAAGCTGTCCCCAGTCAAGCCCCCTGCTTGGCACTTTAAAATTGATGTATCTTTCTTAAGGGATTCATTTGCCAAAGCACCAAAGCTGAGTAAGCTCTTTCCTCCTCTTCCATAGACATTTAAATTACTTTCTAAAATACTCTGGCTTCCTTCTAATGTTAGTTAAGAACAGTGGCAGCATCCTGGGAGGACAGAAGGCAGGGAGGCCAACAGTAGATGGCGCCATAGCCAATGGCAGGCAGGGCCAACAGATTTCTGTTTTGCTGCCATCCTCTTTTCTGAGTCCTGCAAGGAGGAAGCTGATAGCTCTGCACTGGATGTAAGAAGGCAGGCAGGTGGGAACTGACTGAGGGCAGACTGAGGTTGCTGGGTCAGTGCCTCATTTGCCCTGATAGATCAGCCTCCACCGGTAAGAGTAGAAGCCCCCGTTTCAAATGTTCAGGTATCCAAAGCCCCATTCATTCAAATTAACTGAGGATGGTACAGCACAAGACTCTTAATCTCAGGGTTATGGGTTTGAGCCCCGCTTCGAGCAAACTAGACTAGACAACCCTCACAGTCTCTTCCAATTCTACAATTCTATGATCTTACAACAGATCTGGTTTTATATAAGTTTAACTATCCGAGATTTCTGAAAGAGTTCTGAGAACTGTGGTGTGGTGAGGGTGCTAAGAATTCTCTGTCAGGTTGAGCATCCTTTGACCGACTATTGCCAAGGTTCCTTGAGGATCCCTGGGAATCTTAAAGCAACCTGTGCTCAATGAACTGCTAAACTACCATTTGGGTCTGTAGGATAAACAGACACGCAGTGCCCTCTGTGTGTTCTTAGTGATTATAATCCTGTGTAAATAACACTCTTGTTTAACCAAGCTTCTAATAATCCAAACATTTCAGTGTTCTCCTTACAAGTGGGGGCAAAAATACACGGCCACTTTGTCCAGGAAAGTCCAGATGAAAGAGGCTGCATTGTAGCACATGCAAAGAATTTATATCTGCGCAGTTGTAGCTATGATGCAAAGATGAAAGGGGCTCGAGATAAGCAAAATCCAATACGTCAGGGCTATTTAACACTGTATTTCTCTTGTCCAAACAAAATAGTCCACTTTTGCAAATCTCAAATATTTACCTTTAGCGCTAAGCATATTTTTCTACGTTAAGCCAAATAATCAAAACTATGAGCAAGAATGAAGGAAAAACCCATATTAGCACTTGAGAGCTAATTATGCTTCCCTGTCCAGCCCCTGTGTGGTGTCTCAACCGAGCAGTCAATAGCAAACTAAGCTGGAGAGAAAGAGAAGCAATTTCCAATATGAAAGGTGTAGATCAGGGATATACAGATCCAGGATCTGGATGTAACCCTCCAGGCTGCTCTATTGGGCTTCAGGATTTGGCACAAGCCAAGCCCATCTCCAAACCATTACCTCCCACTGACCCTCCTTCACATCCACTTTTGGGTGCTTTTTGCCTAGTGGCTGGAATGTGTCCTTGAACTGCTGCAATGCTTGCCTGAACGGAGATGTGTTGGGTGTGTGTTTCTGTGAAGAGCCCTCTGACTTTTGTGGGGCTACAATGCAACTTACTGTACAGAGGTAAGAGTCACATTTCTCCTTCCACTTCTGCCTCTGGCCTCAACCACTGCTGGCATGTAGTTTCCAGAAAGTTCCAACAGGGGGAAGTTCCCTACCTCTGGTATAGATATTGTGGGATTGTGTGTTAGCTGAATTGCACAGAAGCGGACCCAAAGCTTAGTGCTGCACTTAGGTAACTTTACACCCTGCTAAAGTTAAGCGGTAATGCGCATTACTTGACTTTCTTAAAAATGTGGTCAGCCAGCCCTGCTGCATTTGGGGGCCTTCCTACTTCTGCTCCAAAGTCCTGCTCTGGCACCATAGCAGAAGCTCCCTTGAATCCTGCCTGTTCTGGTCTAGTACTGGTCTGGTCAAGTGGTATGGGCCATGCCATGCTGACATGCAGTGGCCTAGCGTGGGTTACCAGTGCCCAGGGCTGCATGGAGGGAAACGGACAGAGTACGCATGCACATTGAACTGACTAAAGGTGTCCACGTCACCCACAGCCACAGATATAAGAAAAGAAGAGTCATTCTGTTGTCTGGAGAGGTCACTTCCTGGTTCTCATGGCAAAGCCGTTTTCAACGAAGCCCAGCAACAGAAGCACACAGCTGTATTGAAGCAGCACCAGGTGTTGAAATTTTGTGCTCCTAACAATTTTGTGCCCAGGGCAACCAACCCTGTGCCCCTGCAGACATGACAGGAGGATGCAATGCCTCATTGATGATAGGGTTACACAGATGCGCTGTATACATTACAAATGGCCCCACAAATCCTTATTCACTGAATGAGAAAAGGGATCATCCTATAAACATCCTTGGCTATGCAGGTCAAAATCCCAGCCACTTAGACAGCAAAGGTTTGTACCTACTCATGCCAGATTAAAGTGGGTTAGATAGGCAGTCTCAGCTTTAGGTGATATTTCTGAATGAATGTTCAAGATAACCTTGCAGTAGACTGCTTGTACCCAAGGAGCAGTGAGAGATTTTAGTGAGATGGAAATGCACAGGCAAAACCCATCAGTCAATTTTGCACCTGAAGCAAAAGAACACGAAAATGACACATCTCTCAGCTACTGGCTGAATCTCATTTTGTTAATGATGCAGAGAGGCTGGAGGCAGGCAATGGGCACCCTCTGGGATCTGCCATCCAAAATGTAACGTTCATATCACGTCTTCATTGTAAGTTCAGGCTTGCAGGCAATAGTTTCTGCGAGATCCGGCACCGATAAAACTGATAGCAGGCAGGTCACAGCAAAAAGAAGCAGAAAGTTCTTGCAGAGCCTGTCACCTACCTTCATCATCATCATCATCACCATTATCACTACTACTACTACTATTACATTTATGTCCCATCCTTTTTCCAAGGAGCTCAAAGTGCCAGACATAGATGATAACAGAAATCCCTACAGACAACCAGCCACAGTGCCTGGAGACAGACAGTCAGGTCATGTATCCTCAGCAGTGACCAGAGGAGATACTTTGTATGTATCTGGTTTCCTTTTATTAGCACCCATTCAGTCCAGTTGCTATGCCCAGACACCGATTTAGGACACCCACAGCTTCATTTAAACCTGATGGAAATGAGGGATAAAATCAACACCAAATCTCTAGATAAACGTCATGTAGAGGCTTAACCTGCATTGGTAGGGGGTGAAATTGCTTGCTTATTTATATCATTTATATCGTTACTTTGAATGTATTATCCACCTTTTACCTTAAGTTCTCAGGGTGGATTACAACAATTTTAAAAGCAATTTGAAAGACTTGCAATTAAAAAAAAAATGCAATCTGAAGTGTCAAAGGCGTAAAGAGGTGTGTCTTCAGCATTAACTGAAAATGAAGGTGCCTGATATACTTCTGTGGGGAGGGAGTTTCATAATTTAGGGTCTGCCACTGAAAATGTCCTCTGCTGGGGGCCCCTGCCTCACCCTTCTGCCCACAGCAGCTAAGGGTGGCAGCTGCCCAGGGAAAGCTGTTGGCAACCACCAATTATACTTGCCTAACAATATCACATGGCTTCTGCTATTCATTATTTTGCTGACATTCCTTCAGCTCGTCAATGACTGAGCAGCCTCTTATTAATGAAAAATGAACATTGTGGATTCACTAAGCCCTGAAGAGCAACAATCAGCTGCACATATGACAAGGACACTGTTTTGTGGGTATTAATAAAGAGATATTTATGGTACATGTCTACTCCCAGGTTGCTAGTTCATGTGTCAAACAAGCGTACATTAGTCGGAAGTCATTTATACTAGGGGAGATGTTCTGAATCTTAATTAGAACATCTGTGGTACTGAGCCATCTTTTGAAAAGTTTCCATGACAATTTAAGGACATAAAAGCTTGGCTAGGCAGCAGCATTTCCAGTTGCAGATAGCACGGTATGGCTGCATCACTCAACTGATCTCTCCACTGTGTACTAGGATAAGAAGTGGGGAAGGTGGTGGTGAGGTCAGCATGGCACAAATGCGGCAGCAGTGACTTCATCAGTGCATTTGCGCTGTGCCCAACACACCTCACTCTCTTCATCCTACAGCAGCAACTCAGCGGGAGGGAGGTTTGGCCTCAGGTGATTGACAGATGGGGTCCCACCCACTTGTTAAAGTTGGTCCATAGAGCAGGGGAAGATAAAGATCTGGCCTGGTGGGCCAAAAGGGTTCTCTACACCGGTTGTTGCGAGACATTATTTTGCATGGTGGTGTCGGTATGTTTCTGGGCAAAGCTACAGCTTAGAAGCCAGATGACTGCTTGGGATTAGTTCCTTACATACATGAGTGTATGGTGTGAGAATCATAGAATTGTAGAGTCGGAAGGGACCCTGGGAGTCATCTAGTCCAACCCCCTGCAATTAAGGAATATTTTGCCCCACATGGGTCTTGAACCCACAACCCTGAGGTTAAGAGTCTCATGCTCTGCCGACTAAACTATCCTGAGTTCTCAGCCAATGAAACAGAAAGTTGGCAGAGGAAAGATGTGTTTGCCATTTGGCTGCCCACCTCAAGGCACAACCGGCCTCCGCTAGTGATGGGTGACTCTGCCCATTTTAGTTTATTTCCATTTCTTGTTTTTCCAAACTTAAATTCGGTTTTGCACATTTCCACATCTGTTTATGATTTTTATTTTTTTAAAAAAGAATCCTCATGAAAACCCACCAGCATTATAATGAGGATTTGTCCTAATAAAACAATTTAGTATAATGCACTTTTAATGTTCTTTCCAGTAATATATACTTTGTAACATGTTTATGTACACTTTATCCTAGCATACACCTTTAAGTACTTAAATGGAAAACTGCGCTGCACTGCAAAATTCAGAGAAAGCGGATTTTTTAAGGACGACAGCATTCTGGTTTGCATATTATTTCAGAAAGCGCAAATTTGTCTGGTTTGCCTTTAAACACAAACTGAATCAAATTTCTCCCATATCCCTAGCCTCAGCAAACCAAGCTGTTTCCCACCCCAAAATGAAGAAATAGACTCACCTTCAAATCAACCACAGGGTGTGTCCTTCCCATGCTCCTGGCAGTGGAGATAACCTTAGGGACAACATCAGCAATGACAACATGGAGGGCTCAGTGGAGCTTCCTGGATTGCTACTAGAGGGCATAGGTTTCCCAGGTCACCAGGTTGCCTCCAGATGTTTTGGACTATGACTCCCAGCAGCCTCGGACCACCCTGCCCAATGATGAAGGATGATGGGAGTTGTAGTCCAAAGCAACAGGAGGGCCACCAGGTTGGATAAAGTTCCCTTATGCCATTTCCCTGATCCAAAGTGCACTGATCACATCAAAATATGTAAGGAAGCACACTTCGCAGGTGGTATCTTTCTGTGTTAAATTGGCTTTAGGTATGTCCTGGCACATTAAATAAACGAACTTCTTGAAAAACTGGCAACTGGCAAAGATCAGCATTGATTTGATAAAGGCGAGAAGTGTGCTTGTTCTGCAAAACTCAAGGTTTATTTTTCTGAAAGACAAACACTGCGAGCATGGTAGCAGCTCAGAACTGTTTGTACATAACTGAGTTGTGATTTCAGAAAATGGGTGTCGGTTTTGTGCTGGAAGTTGAAGAGTTGTCTGTTTATTTGAAGTAACATCCAGCCAGAACTGGCCCTTGCTTTGGTTTGTTGGTGGCCAGATCTGTTGTCCAGTGTGCCCTGAGTGAAGGTCAAAAGATAAGCAAGTGTAATTCCAAGTGCACAACAGGATCTATACACTCGTCACCATGCCACAGCGTCAAGAGCAGGTGGCAGAGGGCTTGGGCTCTTCCTGTTCCTGTTCAGAAGTACCATGCACACCTGCGGATGTGTCGCTTATCTGAGTGTCTTTGGAAAAACATCCATCAATGCACCCTCTTCCCCCAGTGCTGAAGGCCATAGCACTTCTATTCGGCAAGAATGTTACTTGCCCCCCAAATGGAAAGAAGCAGAAGTCCCAGCAAAGGAAGAATGGATACTAAAACTTTTGAAATATGCAGAGATGGCGAAACTTACCAGAAGAATAAGAAATCAAGATAACAAACTATTTTATAAAAGAATGGAAATGGTCTATTGAATATTTACAGATAAATTGTAAACAGATAGAAACATTGGCAGGATTATTGCAATAACCTGCAGTGTCATAAGAGTATATATTTAAAGAAGATGAATAAATGAGCAAATTAGGTTAATTTGGGTATGCAGAAGAAAGTAAAAATAAATTTAAGGAAATGCAGAAAGAGGGGGAAGGAAGTAAAGTTTTGAAATGTCAAAATGATTGTAAAATTAGTGAAATGTATGAAATTAGTGAAATGTATAAACTTGAAAAGTATAAATAGAATTTTAATGGGGGGGCAAGCGCTCCTATGAAATTGCCAATTTAATGTCCCACAATGACCCCAACATTCCATCTCTCTGGAGCCTTGCAGGGAATTGCAGTTAAATTTCCCACAATGCTCCACAGCACTGCTACTTCAAGGCACTGTGGGACACATAAATGGCGGCCCTGGTGTCAGCCACATGCTGCTCATCAGATCAGTGCGCCAGGAAAAGAGGAGGTTAGGTTAAGCAACACAAGCACAAACTGGAGTGGGGAACCCAGACATGGCCCTTTAGTTCTTTTTGTCTGGCCCTTAAAACTCACCCCAAGCTTCACTCCTCACACACGCTGGGTGTTTTTGCCTGGCTGATTTTGTTTGAATTCTGATAATGCCAGAATTATCTAGTTGGAGGATGGGGAGGGGTGAGGACATGTGCATAGAAACTAGCCAACTGTGGAAAGATACAATGGACATCCATTTCTCCACCCACCTTTGACTCTGGCTCCGCCCCTTGGCATGTGGCCCTCAGCAGGTAACCCAGATGGAAATGTGGCCCATGAGGTGAAAAGCATTTCCTGTCCCTGCCGTGAGCTGGTACTGGAATAACACTTTAGGACACCTGTGCTACAGATTGACCTCTGCTGATTTAGTTCAAGCAAAGTTAAACCCTCTTTGGTGATTTGGAAACCAGCTATGTGCCTTTCTTAGTTGGTTCTTGCCCACATTAAAAGAGCTGCAAGCTTTTTTTCAAAAATATATAATTTCCTTCTAAGCCTTAAAAGAGAAAAGAAAGCCAATGCAGTGAGGCACTTCATACAGTCTGAAAGTGATTCATGTGATTATCCTTTTCATCCTGAGACTGCAAATGATCTCACAGCAATAATGTCATGGAAAAATATTTCAGAAAGTCATTTCAGCCTTTTCTGCCAGATCCTATTTGAACACGGTGGGGCTGAGTTTTAAAACGGATGGGATAAGGTAATGATTTTGCCCAAGGCCTCTGAAGTGTCATAGAGTCCAGCTAGGTGGTTTCAAGTCCCTTGGTTAATGTTCAACCATTCAATTGCACCATCCTCAAACCATTTTAATCATTATAATCAGAAGTTATGAGTACCATCAACACATGCTGAATCTCTGGAGCCTCTTATGCTCTGTTTCTCCTTTACATCTGCAGGTGCAGCTTTGCCTCTAATGGACTGGATGAGAGCCAATAAACCAAAGCTCAATGCCGATAAGGCAGAGGCACTTTTAGGATTCAGCTACACAGCTGCAAATAAAACGTTTCAAATGTGTTGTAAAGCGCAATATACAAAAGTGACACAGTGAGCTATGCATAACTCAATGTATTTTTCAAAACTATTTTAAAAAGCATTTTCACAGCATTTTTAATATGTGTGTAGATTCCAACTTAATGGGGGGTTCACTAAACTGGATGGATAGGAGACTGCCTGCTCTTGATGGGGTTACGCTCCCTCTGAAGGAGCAACTACATGGCTCGGGGTGCTGCTGGATCCATTACTGTTGCTCAGTGGTGGAGAGTGCCTTCCATCAGCTTTTACCAGTGCCCCAGCTGCTCCCCTATCTGGACAGGGATAGCCTAGCATCTGTGGCCTACGCTCTGGTAACCTCTAGGCTGGGTTACTGCAATGCTTTATACATGGGGCAGCCTCTGAAGATGGTTCGGAAACTTCAGCAGTTGCAAAATTCAATGGTCAGGTTGCTTACCAGAACAAGAGAGATTGAGCATATAACGCCAGTACAGTGGTACCTCGGATTAAGAATTTATTCGTTCTGGAGGAACCTGAAACTGTTCTTAACCTGAGGTACCACTTTAGCTAATGGGGCCTCCCACTGCCGCCGTGCAATTTCTGTTCTCATCCTGAAGCAAAGTTATTAACCCGGGGTACTATTTCTGGGTTAGTGGAGTCTGTAACCTGAAATGTCTGTAACCTGAAGCATCTGTAACCCGAGGTACCACTGTACTGGCCTGACTGTTTTGGCTGCCAATAGTTTCTGGGCCCAATTTAAAGTGCTGGTGCTGACCTATAACATACCCTCAAACATTTCTCCAATGAAAATAGGGACGTCCCATTCCATAATGGTCATTTTACTGTTTATACCCCACACATCTTACTGGGTTGCCCCAGCCACTCTGGGCAGCTTCCAACATATATAAAAACATAATAAAACATTAACCATTAAAAAGCTTCCCTATACAGGATTGCCTTCAGACGGCTCAGGAGTTGGATAGCTCCATACCCTCCAAAATTTCTCCAATGAAAATAGAGACATCGTAAGGAAAAGTGGGACATTCTGGGATCAAATCAGAAACTGGGATGGCTTCTCTAAATCAGGGACATCCTTAGAAAATAGGGACACTTGGAGGATCTGCTATGAAGTTTTACACAGCTCAGGACCTCAAAACCTTAAGGACCACCTCTCCCCATACAAAGTGATCCAGACCCTGCACTTGTCTTCCGAGGCCCTTCTCTAGGTCCCCACTCCCCAAGAGGTTCAGAGTGTGACAACATGAGAATGGGCATGAGAATGGACATTTTTAAAACAAAAACTTGGTGCCTGAGCAGCAGCCCAGCAAGATTTTGAAGCGCATTCTGGAACACCATCAGCTGGGTGCCAAGTTCTGAATATGAGTTAGATGAAAGAGGCAGTGGACTTGCCATCTGAATGTGTGTGATGGTATCTCCCTTTAAAAGGTAAAGGGACCCCTGACCATTAGGTCCAGTCATGGCCGACTCTGGGGTTGCGGCGCTCATCTCGCTTTATTGGCCGAGGGAGCCGGCGTACAGCATCCGGGTCATGCGGCCAGCAGGACTAAGCCGCTTCTGGTGAACCAGAGCAGCGCACGGAAATGCCATTTACCTTCCTGCCAGGGTGGTACCTATTTATCTACTTGCACTTTGTTGTGCTTTCGAACTGCTAGGTTGGCAGAAGCAGGGACTGAGCAACGGGAGCTCACCCCGTCACGGGGATTCGAGCCTAGGACTTCTGATCGGCAAGTCCTAGGCTCTGTGGTTTAACCCACAGCGCCACCCGCGTCTCCCTTTGCCTTTCCCCAAAAACAAATTACCTGAAGGGGATTTATTGGTATACTTGTGAAGCACTCTTTCAGCCCA